AAGATCTTCACCAACCCCGCAACAGAAAAAGGTCTGATCTCCAAAATATATAAAGAACTCAAGAAACTAGACTTTAAAATGCTAATTAACCCTATTAAAAAATGGGGCACTGAACTGAACAGAGAATTCTCAACAGAAGAATTTCAAATGGCCAAAAAATACTTAAGGTCATGCCCAACCTCCTTAGCGATCAGGGAAATGCAAATCAAAACAACTTTAAGATACCATCTTACACCTGTCAGAATGCTAAAATCAAAAACACCAATGATAGCCTTTGCTGGAGAGGTTGTGGAGTAAGGGGCACACTCATTCATTGCTGGTGGGAATGTAAACTTGTGCAACCACTTTGGAAATCAGTGTGGCAGTTACAACCTACCCCAGGACCCAGCAATACCACTCTTGGAATATACCCAAGAGATGCCCTATCATACAACAAAAGTATATGCTTAACTATGTTCATAGCAGCATTGTTTGTAATAGCTAGAACCTGGAAACAGCCTAGATGCCCTTCAATGGAAGAATGGATGAAGAAAGTGTGGAATATATACATATTAGAGTAGTACTCAGTGGTAAAAAACAATGACATCTTGAATTTCGCATGCAAATGGATGGAAATAGAAAACACTATCCTGAGTGAGGTAACCCAGACCCAAAAAGATGAACATGGGATATACTCGCTCATAATTGGTTTCTAGCCATAAACAAAGGACATTGAGCCTATAATTTGTGATCCTAGAGAAGCTAAATAAGAAGGTGAACACAAAAAAATATATAGTGATCCTCCTGGATATTGGAAATAGACAAGATTTCTGGGCAAAAATTGGGAACTTAGAGTGGGGTGGGATGGGGGTAAGGGGAGATTGAGAAAGAAAAGTGAGAAGGGGAGGATGGGGGAGCTTGGGGAATGGGATCGTTGGGATAAAGGAAGGGTGGATATGAGAGCAAGGAAGTATATATCCTAATTAAGGGAGCCATCTTAGGGTTGGGCAGAGACTAGACTCTAGTGGAGCTCCCAGGTGTCCAGAGAGATGTTTTCAGTTAGTTCCTTGGGCAGCTGAAGAGAGGGAACCTGAAATGGCCCTATCCTATAGCCATACTGATGAATATCTTGCATATCACCATAGAACCTTCATCTGGCGATTGTTGGAGATAGAGACAGAGACCCACACTGGAGCACCATATTGAGCTCCCAAGCTCCAACTGAGGAGCAGAAGGAGGGAGAACATGAGCAAGGAAGTCAGGACCGTGCGGGGTGCACCCACCCACTGAGAAGGTGGGGCTGAACTATTGGGAGCTCACCAAGGCCAGCTGGACTGGGACTGAAAAAGTATAGGATAAATCCAGATTTTCTGAACATGGCGGACAATGAGGGCTGATAAGAAGCCAAGGACAATGGCACTGGGTTTTGATCTTACTGCATGTACTGGCTTTGTAGGAGCCTAGCCAGTTTGGATGCTCACCTTCCTAGATCTGGATGGAGTGGGGAGGTCCTTGGACTTCCCACAGGGCAGGGACCCCTGATTGTTCTTCAGACTGGAGAAGGAGGGGGAGAGGAGTGGGGGCAGGGAGAGAGGAGTGGAGGGAAGGGGAAGGAAATGGGAGGCTGTGAGGAGGCAGAAATTTTTTCAATTAAAAAAATACAGTGTCTTCCTCAAGACCCAGTAATAAGAAAAATAATAAATAAATAAAAAAATGCCCTTGTTAAACTG